GTGTGTGTGTGTGTGCGTGTGTGTGTGTGTGCGCGCGTGTGCGAGCGTGTGCGCTGTGTATATGCTTATACTTTAAAACAATTTATAAAGTCCTACCATCACTATCCACTGGATCGAGCAAGAAGATTACATATTATTAAGCAAGTTGCATTGAAAATCCATAAGTCCGAACAAACAGGCTTATTATAAAGATGAGCCAGTTTGTTTGATTCTGGGGTTCGACAAAAAACAACAAACCCCCGCACACATTTCAGAGCGGAAAAGGGCAAAATTAGAAGTTATAACTTACCGCATGTAATCGTATGGGTAATTTTCTTTTAATTGGTAACTTTTATAGAGCAATTGGTTGTTTTTTTTCGGCTGTTACTAAATACATCGCCTGCCCTTTAAGGTGTGGTTTACTGGTTTAGCTTGCTTTGAAAATTAATTTTGGTTTTAAATAAAAGATCGAATCTCTTCAAATTAATATTGTCAGACCTTTTAACTTGCCCTGGAACCAACTACAGTCATGCCCCCTCCCCTCCCCACTCCAGATAACAACGACAGAACAACTCGTCCCCCAACTATCATTGAATTATCCCGTGACCCAACCCATGTCCTCAAAACAACAATAGCAGCCGGTGGTTTGTAAAGAGAACCTGTCCTCATTTATCGCCCCTCTTGAACATCGTTATTTTTATCAGATTCCCAAAGACATAATATCGATGGGATGGTTTTTTTCACCGTACTTAATTTTCGTTAGGATTTCAAAATTTACACCTTCAACATGATATATGACTTATTATAATTATATTCTGAAATATTCATACAATTTTATTTTACATAAGAGCGATAATTTTTCATTTAGTCAAGGAAATTATGCAAAAGATCCTTTCGATTTTTGAACCTAGCCTGAGGTAAAAATAAACTGTCATGGGTGTGAACTCTTGTGTACCAGGGTCACGATAATCGCTGGATCTCACGAGAAATTTAGAGGCAAAGGAAAGGGTTCTCTATCCTGGCAAAGTTCTTTATTTGGATGTCAGTGATTCCACTCATTGCTGGATACTTTGTTATTTAACAGAAGTTGTGATTTCAGCTGTCAGGACTACATAGCAAGCAGATGACAGAATATAAGCTGGTGGTTGTGGGAGGTGAGTCAGCCAACACGTCTTTTTGTAGTGTACACTGTAGATTCTGGTAGAAGAGGTAGGCTAGTCCTAGATCTGGCTAAATCCATGGTTTCAGATACGATACAGACCTGGGTAATTGAGTTGTGAGATAAGAGCGCAATTCTACCCCGTCTTTGCCAGTAGATTTAACATTGCTATTTCTGTCTTTTAAGAAGGGCAATTGAAGCAATTTTTATAGCTTTATTATTTGAATAGACCAAGTCTATGTTATTTCATGTTCGAATGTAGATCTTGATGCTATCGTCGTCGCGGCACGGCACAACATTCTACTGTTTCCGGGGTTTGGTTCACTTTGAATTTAGTGATAGATCTAGTTTTAATCTAAGAGCGAAGGCTTTCTTTCTTGACTTCGTTCTTTCTTTACAGAACATGTTTGTATGGTGTCCCTCTTTGTGTGTGTAACATTATTTTTTATCTCTGTAAGTTGTAAGCCTTCATTGAAAGTATTCCCGAGTGAAAGATTCAGTTATTTATGAGGAATGAGGACACATCGTCTCTTTAAGTTTGTGCAGACTCTGCGATGTGTCAGGGGTTACCTCCTTCTGCAGACTCTACAGGCTGCTTTCTGCCTAATTTAGCTTAGACTTCTAGGCCTTTAGCCTCATCTCGCCCTTCTCGAGCATCGATAAAGAGTTTTCAACGGTCTTAAACCGTCAGTTCTACATGAAAATCTAGGGGTCTAGATTCTAAATCCAGGTGAAAACCATGGTTCTGTGCAGTCTACATTTTCGACCTAGAATGTAGATCTAGATATATATCTAGATCAAGATCTAGGTGGCATCGGTAGCCCAGTGGTTAGGCTACCGGACGCATAATCATGAGGTTACGGGTTTGAAGGTAGACCACCCATCTAAAAACCCTGTGTCACTGACACTTGCTTGACATTACTTGAGTCTGAACTCACAACTCACTTACCTGCTGGAGCACTGGGGTTAGTGTTTTAGCGCAGGCTGTAAAATTGGCTGCTTGCACTGTAATACTTCCAAGGAAGTTGAGGTTATTTCAGAATGCTCTCAGATCTGCTGGGGTATAGTATAGATTGTGAAGCGCATGATATAAGCTTGTTGTTAAACGGGGATTTGTGCTACAAATGCTATCTTCTACTATTGTAAAATTAGATCTGATGTAAATGCCAATTCAACTGAAATTTTTAGGCCCTTCATTAGGCAATTAATGTTAGGAGTTTGAGGTCAGAGATAGAGTAAGACTTGACTGACATGCACTTTACTATCATGTGACCAGATATCTGAGAACAATTCGTCTACCCCAGCTCTTGAAAGCAATTAGTACCCCCTTTTTCATTTTCCGTGTTCTGTTTAATGCACAATTGGCCTGTAGACTTCGTGAGTTTCAAAGTAATTGAAAAGTCCTGCCTGTAATTTTTAAGTCTGACTGTACATTACAATTTTAATATTATTTATCTTGAATCAACTGAAAGTAGAAAGTGTATGGCGTAATTGGGTTAGAACAAATGTCTTTCTTTATCATAGATGTGTGTGTCCTTGCATTATCCATCAGCTGTTCTTCCAAATTAACTGACAAACTGTTAACCACCATGCCTGTCACATGTGTAGTGTCTGTGGAACTCTAAAAGAAGGCATGGAGGATTAGTTGTGCGTAATGACCTCCGTGGCAGATTTATTAGAGATGGTTTCGTGGCCTTCTGATCTTCATGATAGCTTTCACATTATCATGGAAACAGGAAATTCTAGACAAGATTCTGTTACGGAGTATAATTAAAGGTCTGTGTGCTTTGATTGGTCTGCTTGTTTTGTTTCTTGTCACTGTTAAGTAGGCTTACTATTGTCCTTAGAATCTTTGAAGTAGGGAAATGTGGCTAGCGTAAGGCCAACTCTTGGGTAGTAGGTCTTCTACTTAAAATTTCTCCCCTCTTGTTTCGTCTTTCTTGTTTTTTTCTCCAGCACTGAATTGCAATTAACGTTTCACTTGTTTTTCTGTACTTAGACTCATGATCCGAACTCACTGTATCGTTCCTTTCAAGTGAATACACTTTTCCCACTTGTTTATAGTATTTCAAATATTTGTTCCAGTGCGAAAACATGAGAGGTGCCCCTAAATCAGATTGCATGAAGTTAACTTCATTGCAACTTTATCATGCCAATACTTTCGGACGGGAGCAAATTTTGCTTTTCAAACTTTTACACTTTTTAACTTTTATCTCTCTCTTTCTTACTCTCTCTCTCTGTCTCTCTTTCTCTCTTTTAAAAAAAAAAAGTAGAGGGTTTTACGGCGCTCGCAACTGCATAAAAGGTGAGCGCCAAGGGGTGGGTGTCAACGGAAAAGTCTTTGCTGGGAATCAGACTTAGACTGCTCACCTCTCTAGCTTCAACAGCACATGGTCTGCTTTGACTATCAAGGCACCCCGGAAATAGCAGGTCACTAGAGAGTGACAAACATACAAAAGAAGTAGAGGAAAATGATAATAGTACTTAAAGATCAGGAAAGAAAAAGCAGCAGTTCCCTGTTGTAGATCAGGCATAGTTATGAGCGCGACATGAGTCAGCCCATTTTACAATTGCTTGAACGAGAAATGTTCCCCCCTTTGGAAATGGCCTAAAGACAACACTACAGTCAGTGGCACTGCCCCGGGGGTGCTCTTTCTCTCTCTTTCTAAGTTTCGCTTTCTCTTTCCGTCATGCATGCGGTACTTGGAAATTTCCATTATAGTGCAATATTTTGACATCTTTTTGTCCTTTGGTAACTACTTGCATTGCCCATGCATGTCGTCAGTTTGTTTTAGTTTCAGAAAAGGGATGCAACAGTTGAAGACTCTTTTCATTCAATGAGCATTTTTATTCTGGATTTTGATTCTTCACAAAGGAATAGTTTTTTGCCGCTATTCTTTTTAAATTGCAAGCTGGCCATAATAATATAATATTCTTTTAAAAAATTGTGTTTTAAAGTAATATTTTAAAAGTGCAAGTTGTGTTGAATGTTTTGCTTGAGGTTAGCAATGTTTACACAGCCACATCATGAGACATTTTGCCCAAATCACGACTGCAAGTCTTAGTGAACTGCTTAAACCTCATGTAATATATTAAGTATTGAACTTGTCTTTGAATAATATTGTCAAAATCAGCTGAACTCCCATTAATTACCTAGTTCTTATATTTTTATACTCCTTGACTAATATTTTGTTTTTTAAAAATATATAAAATATTGATAAAAACGTAAAAGGTTAATCTGAATTTCAGTGACTGCCAGTCGCTACATTTGATTTAGTACAAAATATATCCACAAGTGAAAATGAAAGGCAATCAAAAATGTTTTTGAAATGGTTTATTAAGTTCCCCTTGCTTTTTTTTTCGCTGTATAGTGGATAATGTCAAGCTACAGAATGTAAAAATGTTGTGACTTGATTGGACCAGGCAGGGTTGTTCGGTTGTTTGCAACATAATCAATGATCCCATGTTTTTGTAGAGTCACAGCTGGTTACAGAAGAGTTGGGTAATGATTTTTTGGTTGTGTTTTTTTTTAAGTAGGGAGAAAAATCAGACAGATATGTCCGATACAGAAAAGATATAAGATGAGTAAGTGGGAACAATAAATTTGCGAAGCAAAAATTTTTTCTTGGAATGTTAAAGCATCTTGATAATAATTATAATTAAACATATAATATGTTATTGCCTCTGGGTCACTCATGTGTTTCTATGCGATGGCTTAGAATTCGTTGCATAAGAAAGAAGGGAACTTAATTGATCCCATTTCAAGACTTTATAAATTGATGGAAAATCTGGAATAATCAGATCTTGAAAACTATGACCTTTTCTGTTGTTACAAAACTATGTCTCACTTGATCATGAATAGTATGCTCCCTTTCCTATCTCTTGTCATTAGTCTGCAGCAGGGCGACTGTTCGCTCAGTAATTTTTCTCGGAGTCTACATCTATAGGAGGGGACAATATTATAATGATTTTGAACAGTTTAAAGTACTAAATTCAGATAAATTCTTAAAAATTTTTAAAGAGAAAATTAGGCACACCCAGTATCATACTTTGGACATGCTTTATCCTTCAAAGTTTGTGGAGGAACAACAACTAGTGGTTTAGCGGTTAGTCTCTTTGCCTTGAAAACTTGTGTTTCTGCTTTTAGGTCGGTTTATAAATATATATAGTCTTACACACAACCCAACCTGGGTTGGCCCTGACAAACAAGTTCAAAGAAGCTTGCCATCAAATGGAATCATCTAAATTGTGTCATTGGGAACATAAGACTTCTTACAGTCAATCAGGAATTGTGTAACTGGATCATCTTATGTAGTAAGAAATAATGCTGCAGTAGTGGTGTTTCTGTAGAAAAAAAAATACAGTTCTTTTATAATAGATTCTATTGCAGTTAGAGAGCAAGCCAGGTCTTATTATACTAATTCTTCACTGACGTTCTAAGACTAGCGAGTGAAAGTCATAGCAAGACAGGTGAACTAAAGTAGGCAAACATTGTGCGCTCAGGTAACATAGTGAAGGCTTTTCGACCCCGGTTTGTCAAATAATAATGACTAGACAAACAGTGCTGGAAAGCCGACCTACTTTGTTTTGTTTTGGGGTTTTTGTGGTCTTGCAGTGCCGGTGTCGAAAGGTGTCCGTTACCTTTTATGAATAATGCAAGGTTGG